AGGAACTCATTTACTATTAAGGTTGTCATTTATTACTAAGATTTTTTTGTTTTTGTCCTTTATAATATTAAACTTGATAACTATTATAGGTAATTTTGAAATATTTGTATGTGTTTGTTACCTTAAACATTTGAAAAAAGCACAAAAAGAACATTTAGTTAACCCAGAGAAACAGTTTTTTAGTAGTAGCAATTTTATATCACAGTTTTATTTTCTTATGAAGTCCAAAAAAAAGCATTGCTACTCATTAAGGCAAGTTCATTATTTAACGTAAAAACCAGAATAATCTTTGAAATGAAAAAATATTATTTTTATTTTAACAGTATTAAGCTCTTACTACCATTCTGAAGAGCTTTTTTGGAATAATTACACATTCCATAACATGTGTTTTACAATGTGTCATCACTAACCCAGTAGCCATGGCAAAAGTCTCTTTTCTTCCCCCTCCTCTTTTTGAACCCCTCTCCACCATCTCTATAATAGGACCACTAGAAGGTTGTATTTATAGCCACCTTTGGAAAGAACATCAATAAAAAAAAAAAAAGACATAAAATGTTTAGTTGACCAGAAATTGAAAGTTAGAGAACTCAGATTTAACTCAGTGTTGCCATAATGTAGGCTTTGCTAGAAAATAATGCTATAAAATTAAATCACTTTGAAACTCTTTAATGAAAGGTGCTATATATATGTAAATACAAAGGATTCTTACTGAAACACAAATGTTGCACAACAGAAATACTATTCTCTAGACTTTGAAATCTCTCTGCATCATGACTCCTTGGATTCAAGTATCAAATTGGTAAGTGGATATCATGACAGTCTAGAGACAATTGCATGTAAAAATGTGTAAATTTACTTTTGATTGAAAAGTTGAGAATAAGTGTAGAATTATGTTTTAGCTAAAAGTAAGTGGGTAAGTTAGATTTATATTACTAGCATCCAATTTGCACAATTAGCACACATCCCAGGACAATTGATGAGTGTGAGATGACCTAATGAGGCTGAGTGAGGATGCTGTTTGACCTCTCTGTGCTAATACCCTAAAAGAGAGCCTGCTGAGTTTTAATCAGCACTACCACTTACAGGCATTACTGAAAACGCCTGCAATGTATTAAAGTGGAGTACGCCAACCCTGGGAAGGAAAAAAGAACCAAGGGAATACAGTGAGACTATAAAATATTCATAATTGTATTCATTACCTTTCTCACCCTGTTTCAAGAAAGGACTATTGATAACCACATGAATTTTTTTTTCTTCAAAAGCAGACTTTGTAGGAACCTAAGCCAAATGGAAATGAACCAGAACTGTTTTTGTAAACGGGCTTAAACCTGCCTTTAGTTATCTGGTTCTTTCTATTCCTTAATCAGCCCCTAAACCTCTAAGAACACTTAAAAATCAGAATACCAGCACCAGCCCAGAACACTAATAATAAGCCTCCTGGATGGCCATGGCTATGTTTTGATCCAAGTTTTTTTGAGTTGGTGGTTACCAAAGAATTCACAAGACAGGTTCATGTTAGCACCTTTCATGCAAGGCATGTTAAAGCCTATTTAAAAATCACTGTGTGTATTATAGAATTGTAGCCACCTCACAGATGGAGTACTACAGCCTGTACTGTCTTTAACAGTTTATATCAGGAAGTGAAATCAATACTGTACCAAATCTGGAATTATAATAGGGAATCATGTATTCTAAATTACTTTTGTACTTTAAGTTACTTTTTATGAGAAAAGTGAATTGTTTTCTTTACAGCTATTTGTCCTGAGATGTATTTTTTTCTTTAAGTATTGAATATGAATACTACAAAAAGAGCCCATTTTATAATATAAACCTTGCTGTACACGTTAAGCTATTTGGACAATGAAAATGCCTTAAGGGAAATGCTTAATGGATAATGTTGCACTTGTAACATCCTTTGACAAACCTGATTTTAAATTGTCCTTTTCAATTCTACTAGTTTTTTTTTTGTTTGCCATTGTACTCACAACTGTTATTAAATACCAAATCAAATAAAAAGCTGTAACATTTCCTTTAAAATTAATGCTAAAAGGGGAGGTAAAGTTGAATGGCAAAACTTGGTGGTGCCAGTATCAGCCACAGGATTCCATGCATGACAAGATACCATTGTTTGAATTGTCTTTTACAGTCACATTCTTTTTTTTTTTTCTCTTTGATTCTCCTTAAAATATATATATATATATACTGGATTAACTGATATAAAAAGAAATAAAAAAGGTAAATTTTTTAAACAAATTGTTATAATCATTTTAAAATTGTATATTAGCCAAGTGTTACTCTTTGCCCTGGAAAACTATTATCAATCTTTATGTATTTTATCCTAACCATTTTTGGTTATTAAGAGGTTTGGGGAGAGAGTCAGTTTTATCAATCCTAAACTGTGTTTAAATGCAATTTATAGTAGTTTCCCTTATCTAAGAAGGGGTATGCTCCAACACTCCCAGTCAATGCCTGTTGTTTTGTTTTCCTATACATTAATACTAAAAGCTAGGCACAGTAAGAGTAACAATAGTTACTAATAATAAAATAGATCTATAACAATACTGTTTGTATTTTTTTTCAGGTTTTGTTTATTTTCTCAGGGTTTTTTTTGTGAGGGGGGGAACTACTCGGGACTTTACTCAGAGCCTGGAGCATGTAGGCTGGCAGTCTACCACTTAGTTGTAGCTCCAGCCCCTTTCTCAGAACTTGTTACCACTCCTTGTGATGTGAGATAAAATAATTAGGTTGTGAGATGAAGTGATACAGGAAATATATTGTTAAGCTAGTAGATAAAGGTTGTTTGTTTCACAGCAGCACTGTGAAAACACAGATATTGTCAGTCTGGTTACCTCAAGGGCTAAGTGACTAATAGGTAGTATATACAGCATGGATATGTTAGGCAAACTTGATTCAATGATGGCATCTCAAAATGGCATGTAATTTAAAACTTAAGTGTTTAATTTTGGTATTTTCCATTTAATAATTTTGGGTCACTTAAGCACAGGTTACTGAAACTTCGGGAAGTAAAACTGCCAAAAATGTGACAGGCTGCAAAAATGTATCTCTTTGTGGGGCTGGAGTGATGGTTCTGTGGTTAACAGTATTGGCTGCTTTGGCAGAGGAGCCAGATTGCATTTCTAGCACTGTCCTCATGGCAGCTCACAACTGCCTACCTCCAGCTCCAGGAAATCCCAGCACACTCTCTTGGCCTCCACAAGCAATGTACACAGGTAGTGCAGACATACATACAGGTAAAACACATAAAATAAAAATAAAAATCAAAAAAAACGTAATGTTTTATTTTTACTTATAAATTTGAGTCAGCTAGCAGAGTCTTGCCATATCGTTCTTCCAAAGCCTGTTTTTACTATCAGCAAGATATCCAAGGCTACAAAGTCTGGTTCTCTTCCTTCATTTCATATACATAGCAACCTAAAACTACCTGGTTTTCTTAAAGATATAGAATTCGGGGCAGATAAAATAAATAAGCATGGAACCTCTAAAACAAGGCAATCATTAGTTTCATTTTGCCTTTCTGTGACACAAGTTGGTTCAAATTACAGTATCTCTACTACATAGAAAGTATTTTTAAAGATTAAATAGAAAATTATAGTTCTTTTAGTAACATCTCACTTGATTGTTAGGAATGGGCAAGAGCAATTTTTATAGTCTAACCTATGTCAGATCCTCAGTGAATACAACAACTAACTAAATTTTTCCTAGTTTTAGTTTTTCAGATGCCATAACTCAAAGAGGATTTTATTAGGATTTCTAGAGGCACATATAACCAACTGAATATATATTGCAAAGGGGATTTAGATCAGCTTACATTTGGGCTTGGTATCCAAACAAAGGCTGTTTTACATACCAGAGAGTCTGAAGACCTGGTAGATACAGAGGGTCTGGAGGATTCTTGACGAGCCTCTGATTTTCAGCCCCACGTAAGCAAATGTCAAAAAGGATGGAGGTGGCGGCAGCAATGGGACTCACCAGCAAGTAGCACTGCTCTTTCCTGGAACTTCTGAGTCTAGGCTGCTGTCACAAAGTTCTGCTTACTGTGGGTATCTTCTTCATTTAGTACTCCCTAGAAATGTCCTCACAGAACTGCCCAGAGGAGTGTTTGTCTCCAGATCAAATCAAGTTCACAACCAAGATTCACCACCACAAAGATTAATAAATTTATCCTAAAATAACATAGTAAATTAGGGTAGTAGACAAAAGAAATGCCTTTCTGTCATCTGAAACAAATTCTGATGCTAATAAGGTGTATTTTGCTGCTGAGTTTTAAAATGTAACTTTAATAGTTTTCTACTTCTAGTTTTTCTACATTAATTTTAATAAGCCAGGTGTGATTGTCCCTGCCTGTAATCCCAACATTTTGGAAGCAAAAGCAAGAGGATCAGAATATCAAGATTACCCTTGGATACCTGACCTGCACGAGAACCTGTCCCAACAAAACAAAAATGTTTTAATAGAAAGTTTTATTGTCTATTGGGGAAAAAAACTTACTGGCTTAAAAACATACATTGGAAAGTGTTTTTAATTATCTTACTGGAGACAATTCTAATGTCCCCCCAATAGCCATTATCAGTATATTCCAAGTGCAGTAAAAACTGAAGGTTTAAGTTCATTAATCCCAAAAGGACTCCCAACGTTGACAGCCTTCTTATAATGAATAATTGTCATGGAAGACTGAGACAGAGTAGAATCTCTCAACTGACAAAAACTACCTCAATTCATCATTTTAATAAATCTTTAATACTGGAGCTGGAAAGACAGGTCAGTGGTTAGAAATCCTTGCTCTTGCAGAGGACGCAGGTTCAGTTCCCAGCACCCACATTATGGCTCTCAACTATCTGCCCAGGGGATCCAATGTCTTCCTCTGATTTTCACAGGCGTAGGTAGGTACATGTGATACACATATATACAAGTAGGCAAAATGCTCATAGACATAAAAATCTTTAAGGTGAGTGATGATCTCCAAATCAATGACACAAAAAAACAGCTGTAGAAATGTGTTTATTATGAGCACTAGCCCAATTGGCTTTTGTTGTTTGACACAGCATCTGAATATTTAAGTCCTTGGTTGGCATAGAACTCAGATCAGTTTTCTCTGCCTAGAGTGTTAGACCATGCACAGCTCCCAATCAGTTTTTAATCAAAGTTTAGAATTATGGGATCATGCCCCGTAGCCTTCACAAATACGAGAAAGTCTTCAGGACTCAAGCCCATGGTTGCAGCATTAGTCATTGGATGAAAGTATACTTTTTCATGTCCACCTTCCAGAAAAGCTGAATCCAAAACAAATGTAACATCCCCATCATCACAGAACAGTGCCAGAGGTGTGGCACAGCCTGGACCAACTTTTAATTTTTCTTGCATGGCTGTTTCATCAGCAAATCGAAGATTTCCACTCCCAACTCCTAACTGCTTGCCAAGATCATTTAAATTAATTTGTCTATCATGAAGAACTGTCACAAGCCAGTAGTGTTTCTCCTTTTTGTCTTTAAGAAATAAGTTCTTACTATGTGCTCCTTTCAAATGTTGAATATGAGGCATCATTTCTTCAATTGTAAACACCTGCAAAATACCACACAAGTAAAGCAGCACACATACATATGTACGGGCAGAATTGTACATAGTTTGCCTGGTGGCTAAAAGACTTCAGGAGTACTCTTATTTAACTGGTAGAGACCCAATCTATTCATTATATATTTTTTTTAATTGCTTGGGGTTGGGCTTTTTGGTGCTGGCGATGGAACACAGAGCACTATGCATGTTAGGCAAGTTTGGTACCTCTGAACTAAACCCTCAGTCTTTAAAGCCCTTGAAACCCTGTAATAATGGTATTCTGGGCTAATGTTGGGATCAAGAGTTCAGGTAAGCCTGTATTACGAAGCAAAACCCTGTCAGAAAAACAACAAAAAACCCTTCAGTCATCACAGTTGCTACCCTCAGGACCTCAGTTTTTCTTAGGCTAGTTTTCTATGCCAGTATGCTGACAAAGCCATCAGATCCCTGCAACGCTGTTTTTGAACTTTGGCAGTAAAAGTTTACCTTAATATTTACCCCCAGAACACTTGAGGATCTCCACTGCCGGGGAACTTAAATCCCCGGATTAGTATATAAAAAACATTTTAAAAATTCTTTTAGCAATGTAGACTGGAATGTAACTCTCTGGGTGGAAGGTCAGAGAAAATTTTGTTGTGACGTTTGTAAACATGGGATGGGGAATGTTAACTTTTTTTTGTATCATTGTGAAATGTGTTCCTCAAACTCTGCCAACTCTGATGGTAGAGTTTCCATGAACTGTACCATGCAAATCTCCAATACGATAACTCATGTTAAGGTACGTGCTTTTCTTAGTGACACGTAGGGTAGTGCGGGACCAAAAGAGGGCTTAGGATCCCCTGCAGCTGTAGTTATAGGCAGTTATAAACTAGATGTGGGTACTGGAAATTAAATTCCTATCATCCGCAACAGGAGTACGTGCTCCTAACCGCGAAAAAAATTCTCCAGACCCAGTGGTATATAGTTTTCTCTAATGATGTGGGAGATGATTATTGCAGACCACCTTAATGCCCTGCTGTCTTCGCAACCTGATACAACACAAGCACGTATAAAGTGGGGGCTTGCTACTTAGTACCTCATCTACAAGTTTCCTCACCATAACCGCAGTCTCGAATCGAAAGGCCTGCAAGTTCCTGTGAGACCTAAGAAACACTCGCCCTACGGCCCCTGGTTCTGGAGCCTCACCTCGGGGTGCTCCACGATCTCCGTGCGGATAGCGAGGGCGCCGAGCCGCTGCTCTAAATCGGCCCGCAGTCCCGCGACCGCCATGCTTCAGCTACGTCGGCAGGTTGACAGAGACGCCTGACCGGAAGTGATTGCCGCAGCTTCCGGGACGTGGGGTCCGCCTCCGGGCGCTCGATTGGAAGCTCCTCCAGTGCCCTGGATTAGCCAGTCGGCAGTCGGGGACCATCGAGTGCGACCAAGCACAGCACCGCCCACGGGAGTCTCCGTTCAACCCGAGGAAAGCTCGTCCCGGGACTGCGGCACTGTGACCTCATAGCTTTCCAACTATAATTAGTAACATCCGGCTTTCTAGTTTTCTTTTTAAAATTTTATGTGCATGGGCGGTTTACCTGCATGCATGCCTGTGCACCACGTGTGTGCAGTGCTGGAGGAAGCCGAAAGAGGGAGTTCAGTCTCCTACAACTGGAGTTATGGATGGTGAACAATGGGATGAGCTAGGAACCGAACTCAGGTCCTCTGCAAGAACAGTCAGTGCTCTGGCCGGTTTTGATAGTAGAAAATATCAGTAGTGCCACGATCCACCCTTTGCATGTCATTGTAATACCTTTGGCCAGGGATCTGCAGCCATGTTGGGATCACTCACTCTTGAGTTTCAAATTCCACGTTAGTATTCCACTTAAAAATTTAGATTAAGCCAGGAGAGTTCTCAATAGAGGAGTGTAAAATGGCTGATAGACACTTAAGAAAGTGCTCAACATCCTTAGCCATCAGGGAAATGCAAATCAAAACAACTCTAAGATACCATCTTACTCCTGTCAGAATGGCTAAAATAAAAAAACAATGACAGTTTATACTAGAGAGGATGTAGAGAAAGGGGAACACTTCTCCACTGCTGGTGGGAGTGCCAACTCATACAGCCACTTTGGAAATCAGTGTGGAGATTCCTCAGGAAAATGGGAATCAGTCTACCAAAGACCAGCAATTCCACTCTTAGTCATATACCCAAAAGATGCACATTCATACAGTAAGGACATCTGTTCAGCTATGTTCATAGTAGCATTATTTGTAATAGCAAGAACCTTGAAGCAACCTGGATGCCTCTCAACTGAAGTATGAATAAAGAAAATGTGGTACATTTACACAATGGAGTACTACTCAGAGGGAAAAAAAACTAATGCAATATTGAAATTTGAAGGCAAATAGAACTAGAAGAAACCATCCTGAGTGAGGTAACCCAGTCATAAAAAGACAAACATGGTATGTACTCACTCATATATGGATTTTAGACATGGAGCAGAGGATTGCCAGCCTACAATCCCACCACCAGTCTGGGAAACAGGGAAGACCCTAATAGAGATATGTATGGTACCCCGTAAAAGGGGAATGGGACAGGATCTCCTGAGCTGATTGGGAGCATGGGGGGAGGGAAAAGGGAGCTAGGAGAAGAGGGAAGAGGAGGACATGAAGGAGCAGAAAGGTTGAGTCAGGGGTAAGAATAGAGGAGAGTAGGATGAGAGATACCATAATGGAGGGAGCCATTATAGGATTGAGGAGAGGTCTGTCACTAGTGAGATTTCCAGAGATCTACAAGGATGGCACCAACTGGCAATCTAAGCAACAGTGGAGAGTCTACCTTAAATGCCCTTCCCAATAATGAGATTGATGACTACATTATACGCCATCCTAAAGCCTTCATCCAGTAGCAGACACCCACAGCTAAACACTGAAATGAACTCCTGGAACCCAGTTGGAGAGGGCACGGAGTGATGAGCAAAGGGGTCAAGACTGGGCTGGTGAAACCCACAGAAACAGCTGACCTCAACGAGGGGGAGTTTATGGACCCCAGACTGATGGCTGAGACGCCAGCTTGGGACTGATCCAGACCCCTGAACGTGTCAGTGAGGAGGCCTCAGCAATCTATGGGGTCTTGGGTAGTATATCAGTATTTATCCCTGGTGTATGAATGAACTTTGGGAGCCCATTCCACATAGAGGGGTGCTCTCTCGGCCTGGACACATGGGGGAGGGCTTAGGCCCTGCCCCGGATGATACTACAGACTTTGCAGTAAGGCCCTCCCTGGGGAGCTGAGCGGGGATGGGGTGAGGGGTTGGGGAAGTTGGTGGGGGGTGAGGAAGGAGAGGGAGCTGGGATTGACATGTGAAGCAAGCTTGTTTCAAATTTAAAGAAACACACACCACAAACAAAATACCTTGCATTTGTGGTTTGGGGCTTCATCTTTCCTGACAGAGTGAAGCTCCAGCTAGCTGGTTTTCCTATAAATAAACCTTGTACTTGCATTCGGGTGTTGTTAAGCTCCTTGAAGCCTTGGGGTCCCTCTCTTGGTGGGCACAACATCTGTATTTTATGTGTATTTTCATTTTTTTTTTTTTTGAGACAGGGTTTTTTATGTGTATTTTGCCTGTATGGCTGCACCACTTTGGGAGGCCAGAAGATGGCTTCCAGAATCCCCTGGAACTAGAGTTAAATCTAGTCATGTGAGTACAGCCTTGGGACCTCTGGAAGAGCACCCAGTGCTGTTAACTAGAGAGCCATCTCTCCAGCCCTTTAACCTGTCCATTAAGACAGCATTTTCGTGTTATTTCTACTCTTTTTTTTTTTTAATCGTTTGAGTCATAGTCTCATGATGCACAGACTAGTATCAAACTCATCTTGAACACCATCACGATAGTGACCAAGGGAGCCATCTGTTATAATCTAGGCAAACCTGGCCCTGCCCCTTGGGAACCTGGCAAAGTGCCACCAGAGTACCCTGGCTCTGTAAGCAGGTTTGAAGGCCCCTTTAAGAACTCAGTCCACTTCCACTCCCCACTGTTTCTCTAAGGAGGCAAGTCTCTCTCTCTCACTCCCTCTCCATCCTCCCCTCCCCACTTCCCCCAATAAACTTTCTACATAAGTTTTCTCTGCAGGGCTCTGTCTCTCACCCACCATGGGATCTGTCAAAGGTCCCACCTCACACCATATCCATAATACCACCCCCAGTTCCTGAGTTTATTCTTTCATTTTGTGTATCTTCATGTTTATTAGACAGTTGAAGCCCTCATACATACAATTTTGTGTCCTGTTTTTTTTTAAGCTGATAAGCATTTTTTCTGTTGATAGCCTAATTCCTATGTTAGTAACTATTTCATGTAGCAGAATCGTAATTATTTGCTTATTGGGTGCAGGGAATGGAACCTGTGGCCTCATGCATGTTAGGTAAGCATGAGATACCCAAACCCTGAATCACAATTTTGGAGCCACTTCATATTGATGAAGATGTTTATTGTTAGTCAATCTGGTATTCTAAATTGTTTACGAAAATAACAATTCTAAATTTATTAACAATGTGCAAATTAACCTCCTGTGAACGTGTGTGTGTGTGTGTGTGTGTGTATGTATGTGAGTGAGTGTTGGTGGGAGGGTGGATAACCTGTGTCAATCAGTACTTTCCTTTAACTGTGCAGGTTCCAGAATCAAACTCAGGTCATAAGGTTTGGCAGCAGGTGCCTTTTCTGAGCAGTCTTGCTGGCCCAAACTATAATGGCATTTCTGACAGAATTTTTAGGAGATAACTTTTGATCAAAGGGATATTTTGTTGTTCAATATGTATTGTTCTGGTTAATTGTGTGCGTGCGTGCGTGCGTGCGTGCGTGCGTGTGTGCGTGCGTGCGTGCGTGCGTGTGTGTATGTATGTGTGTGTCTAAAAAGGGAACAGCTTAACGTTTTATTTTGGTTTAAGGAGCTTATTTTGTTTTCTTTTGAGACTGTCTCACTATAGCCCAGACTGGCAAGGAACTCACAGAGATCTGCCTAGTCCTGCCCCCAAGTGCTGAGACTAAAGAAGAGTGTTATCCATGCCTGGCATCTTAATATTTTTGGGGTTCTTTGTTTGTTTTTCTAATTACCAGATACCCATACATTTTTCTTATGGTTATTGTCTTCCCCTAGCTTTGAACTAATTTTGTTCATATTCTTGGTTCATTTAGAGCAGTGGTTCTCAACTTTCCTAATGCTACAACCATTTAATTCAGTTCTTAGGTCATGGTGACCCCCAACCATAAAATTATTTCATTGCTACCTCATAACTGTAAATTTGCTAGTAATGAGTCATAATGTAAATACTTTTGGAAATAGAGGTTTGCCAAAGGGGTTTCACCCCACAGGTTGAGAACCCTGATTTAGATAAATCTATCCAATCTAAAAATAAGAGAGAAAAAAGTTTGAGAAGGTTATGGCTGGCTTTATTTACTTTGCTCCCTCCTTTCCTCTACTTTTTTTCTCTACAGAAGTGTCATTCTTTTTTGTTTTTCTGATCTAAGTTTAGAAAGTTAACCTCCAGTAATAAAATACCATTTTATTTTCTGAGCATAATGACACATACCTATGATTGTAACACTTAGGAGGCAGAAGCAAACATACCTCTGTGAGTTCAAGGCCAGCCTGGTCTACATGTAATTCCAGGCCAACCAAGACAACAGAATGAGACCCTAGCTCAAAAGTTAAAAAATTTAGAATGTTAATTCAGGACTGGAACACTGGCTCAGTGGTTAACAGTACTTACTGCTCTTATTAGAGAATCTGGGTTCCCAGCACTCATATGGCAGCAAGTTGATATTCTCAGTATTGATGGTCATAAAATCAAAATATTGATCAACTCTGAAAAAACAATGAAGATGATCCAACTCCTGCAGTATCAAATATTCAGATAAATTTAATTCCATATATAACAATAAAGTACATCTTATCCTGTTGGTACCTAAAATTTTTATTCTTCATTAATGACCAAATATGTACATACCACTGGGCTTTGGGAGTGCACACCTTTAATCCCAGCACTCGGGAGGCAGAGGCAGGCCGATCTCTGTGAGTTCGAGGCCAGCCTGGTCCATAGAGTGAGTGCCAGGATAGGCTCCAAAGCTACATAAAGAAACCCTGTCTTGAACCTCCCCCCTCCCAAAAAAACAAGATGTTAGATCCTCAGCTGAATAAAATAAAGGGCAGCTCTAAGATAGGGAAGCTGAAAGCAGCAAGCCAAACAATGTCTGTTTCAGTATATATGTTGCATGCACATGAAATGTATGGTTTCTGCTCTCAAAGACCTTAAAATCTGACACAGTTGCTCTCTCTCTCAGGTTCTCTCCTCCCTCTCCTCTCTTTCTCTCTCTTCTCTCTCTCTCTCTCTCTCTCTCTCTCTCTCTCTCTCTCTCTCTCTCTCTCTCTCTCTCTGGGAACCATACCTGGGAAGACGTATCAGAGAAGACATCAGGTAAAGGTGATGTCATGAGTTTGCCAGGGGTCTAGCTAACTAAACTCCAGATATTGGAGAAGGTGGGTGTTGGAAAAGGCAATGTGTCCTGTGGTACTATGATCAGATGTCACAGTGGAAAGGCTACTGAGTGGAGACAGGGCTAAAACTAGCCACAAAAAAATCCTATATTTCATGTAGGAATAGAAGAAATGTCTAACAGCAAAAGGGCATTTAAGGATATGGTGAGTAATTAGAAGAGTATGAGCAGTGTGATTTTGCTTCAAACAAAAATTTGTATAGCAGACTAAGCTAGGAAAAACAAACTGGGTGGGTAGAGAGGTGGGTCAGTAGTTAAGAACACTGGCTACTCTTTCAGAGGAGTGGAGTTGGGTTCCTAACACCCATGTCTAGGTGCTCACAACTACCTGTAATTCCAGCTCCAGGGGAACCAACACCCTCTTCTGGGCTCACCAGACACCTACACGCACATGTGCATACACATAAACACACATAAATTAAAATGCCCTTTTAAAGATAGTTGTTTCACATTCTTGGAAGCATAAGCAGATAGCTTACCCTGTGTCTTCAATTTAAAACAAACCAATAAATAAATAAAAACAAATATCCAAAACCACTAAGTAGTAGCATCATCTCTCCTATCCCCATTCCCAGAAAACTCTTTTCTAAAGATTATGAAAGATTCATCTCAGAATATGAATTCATGTCTATAAGTAACATTGGAGAAATCAGCTGTATCTGGGGACACTGAATCCTCCTGGGTACACTGTCAGAAACAGACAAACATGTACGTTTGTCCACAATGTCAGAATTTATTGCTGAACATTACATTAGCAAGACACAGTGTTGGCAGCAATTTATGGAGCAATCCTGCTTTCCTTGATAAATACAGGTTCTTTTTAAGTGTGTGTGTTTGTGGTGAGAAGCAGGTGTGCCATGGAGCATATTGGATGATTAGAAGACAACCTGCAGGAGTCTGCTCTGTCCTTCCAGTGTGTGGGTTCCAATTATCAAACTCGGGTTATCAGGCTTGGCAAGAGGTGCCATCTCAGTGGCCCATGGTCTTTTTCTTCCAATCTTTCTTTTTTTTAAAATGAAACTCATTTAAATGAGTCAGCAACACCTTTATTCTTTTCTTTTTTAAAAAAGAATTTTCTCTATATGTGTATGTGTGTGAATGTATGTATACCACATGCATGCAGAGATCAGAAGAGGGCATCAGATCCCTATGGAACTGGAGTTACAGAAGGTTGTGAGCTGTCTTGTGGGCACTGGAAATAGAATCCAGGTCCTCTGGAAGAGCAGCCAGTGCTCTTAACCAGTAACTCATCTCCCCGCTTCCATTTTATTACAGCCTTAAGTACTAACATTAATTCTCAGATCACATTACACACTGCCCAGTAAATACATCTGTATGTGTCTATGTGTAGGTTATAGAATGGCTGCAAAGGTTTAAAGCAGAGTTAAGGAGTTTCAAAAAGGCCTGAGAACCAGAAGCTGAAAACAGTTCATTGTCCTGGAAAGACAATGAACCCAGGTTGGAGGTTTGCTGGAATGATTATGATCATTCAAGTTAAAGAATTTGAACTGCAAACAGGAGGTGTGGTTGAGGCTAAAGAGGTGAAGGGTGTGTCCAGGTACAAGCTACATCAACATTATTTCTGCTGGTTTCTCAATTGCTTGCCAAAGCAAGTGAGAGCAAAGAATTGCTTGCAGAAAATAAGCTTTAATAGATGTTTATGAACAGTAGGTAAAATGGCAAGAATTGGAATGAACTTAGTTTGCAAGTGTGGGATTAGTGGAGATTCAGAAAAGAAGATTTCCAGGAGTCTCTACAGTCATGAATATTGTGAACCTCTGTAATAAGAAAAGGAAGGGGTGTGGAGATGACTAACTGGTAAAGGAGCTAACTGACAAGCCTGAATTCTTCAGTTGGATCCCTACGACCCTGTGGAAGGAGAACTGATTCCCACAAATTGTCCCCCATCCCTTATACATACACAAATAAATAAAATTAAAAAATGGGGGGGGAGGAGTGAGTTAAGAGGCCTGAGTTAGGGTAGACGATGGGAGGTAAGTGCAAAATGTGCTTTGGGGAAGAAACATTTTTCTCTTTTTTTAGGGGGGGGGGTTTCGAGACAGGGTTTTTCTGTGTAGCTTTGGAGGCTATCCTGGCACTCGGTCTGGAGACCTGGCTGGCCTCGAACTCACAGAGATCCGCCTGCCTCTGCCCTCCCGAGTGCTGGGATTAAAGGCGTGTGCCACCAACGCCCGGCTGGGGAAGAAACGTTTCTATACCATTCCATTAATTTATGGCAGTGCTAGATGGAAACGAGTTACCCGCAAGAGGTGGTGATGGCTGTGGTCAAGAGGATGGACCCAAAAGACTCCAAAGTGGAGAAAAACAACGAAAACTCAAAACCAAACGTTTCCATGAACGAGTCACTGAAACCTCGCGACCCTGTGAAGCAGACACAGCGATGATGAAGTCGAGGCACGGAGAGTGGACCAACACCTCCAAGTGCACACACCAGGAATGGGCTGGGCTAGCAGCCCCAGCACCCTAGCTCCCTCCACTCCCTACTGTACCCACGAGATGCGGAGATCCGCCTGCCTCTGCCTCCCGGGGTGCTAGGGTTAAAGGCGTGCGCCGCCCCCACCCCGCGCGAGGGGACTTCTCAAATCCCGTTAGTGCTCTCTCCAGCCACCTTCACCGGTTCCTTCCTGGTAAACACTCGCATGTGTGAAGGGCATGTCCTGCCAGGGGAGGGAAGGGACACGCCAAGCGCCTCCGCCGACTACAGATGCCCGGACGCCGTGGAAAAGCCACTTCCGGCGGGACCGGAAGCTCGACGGGGACCCGGGGCGGGGGCGGGGGGGGGGGGGGGTTGTGGTTCTCACAATGACTTTTTTTCTCTTCTGAAACTTGTATCTGGTCGGTTCAGACGTTTGCATTAAGGCAGCTACACCTGTGCAGCATGCCCTCTTTGTCCCCGCAATGGGAACTGTCAGGCCTGAGTTCCAGTCCGGGTTGCCACTAACCTTATGGCAGTAGGGAATGATCTCTCTGGATTCCAGTGTCCTCTGTAAAGTGAGAGGCTTTCGAAAATTTAACAACCAAGATTGCTTCCAGGTGTGAGATTTGGGTTTTTTCCAATATGTGTCTGATTCCTCGAATACATATCTCTTTGTTGGTTTCTTTCGTAGAGTCTTTATCATTCCATTAGTCCATGAATGCCCTTTGTCAAGTCTGGTTTCACAACTCATTTAAAAATGATTTAAAGTAGCCGGGCGTAGGGGCACACACCTTTAGTCCTTTCAGTGGCAGCACTCGGGAGGCAGACGCAGGCAGATTTCTGTGAGTGCCAGTCCAGTCTTTTCTACATAGTGAGTTCCAGGACAGCCAGAGCTGTATAGTGAGACCCTGTCTCAAAAACATGATTTAAGAAATCCTATACTCTGAGCACTTTCTTTTTACTTCTTAGATCAGAGACATATGCCTAACATGATTTTTGAGGTGTTTTATAGTTATGTAAATGCTTGGTTATTGAATATGAGTTCTTTCAGGGCAGAAACCTAGATCCATTTGTGACACATGATCTTCGTATGGTAAATATTCAATTCCTATATGCTAAGTTGATTTAAATACTAACCAAAATTTTATTTATTTAAAAACTTTTTTTTTCCCTAGGAGGAGCATGAATCAGAAGCTACTGAAGCTGGAGAACCTGCTACGGTTTCACACTATTTGTAGGCAGTTGCACAGCTTGAGTCAAAGAAGACTATTTGCATGGCAGAAGCATGGGTTTTCACCAGCTTATCCACTGTGGACAGAGCAGCTGTGCGCCCAGCCCCGGCAGACAAACCTGTTTGTTGGTGCTTCATTATGTCAGCACAGACTTTTTGTAACAAACAAGGTTGTTATCAATTTATATTATCTACGTTATTTGATCCGAAGTCAAGGTGTGCAGAACTATGTATAGAAATATTTTTGACTATTTTGTCATTTATAGAATATTGCATAAAGCAATACTCTACACAGATCTTTGTGTCACTTAAATTTTTCTTACTTCAGCCAGGCATGGTGGTACATGTGTTTAATTCCAGCACTTGGGAAGCAGAGGCAGGTGGATCTCTGCTTGATCAAGACCAAGACAGCAAGGGCTACACAGAGAAACCCTGTCTCTGGGGGGAAAACATATTTTTTTTTCTTCCTTGTCACTTATATGTCTGTCTTTTTAATAGGAAAAAAGACCATCAAGATCTCAGTCATCTTCAATAAAACCTAAAAGGAATGTAGAAGTATGGGTTGGAATGACTGTTGAAGAACTAGCCAGAGCAATGGCAAAAGACATAGGTAAGCCTGATAAGTTCACAAGAAAAAATCCTGGGGCCCTGAAAATCTTTGGGGTTTTGTTTTTTCCAAGACAAGGTTTCTCTATTTAACAGCCCTGACTGCCCTGGAATTCACTCTGTAAACCAGTCTGGTCTCGAACTCACAGTACTCCATCTGCCTCTGCCTCCTGAGTGCTGGGACTAAAGGTGTACACCACCACCACTGGGCTAAGCTTTGGGTTTCACTTGCAGTGAAGTTAAGACATCCTAGGTGAGTTGGACTAGTGTTTCAAATGTTAAGTTCTACCGATTCTTTTCATTTTATATTACAAGCACCAATCTTTCTTGATTCATTCTCAAATGTAGCTCTCTACGCTTTTTTAGTGAATATGAAAAAGATTTTCTGTGTGGCTGGAGAGATGTCTGGCAAAGTTAAGAGAATTGGCTACAGACCATACATAATGGCACACACCTTTAATCCAAGCACTTGGAAGGCTGTGAATTCAAACCCAGCCTGATCTACATAAAGAGCTCCAGGCCAACTAGGTCTCACACAGTAAGCACCTCCATCCAAAAAATAAAAATAAAAAAGGAGCAGTGGCTACTCTTGCAGAAGACCCAAGTTTGGCATGGTGGTGCATGCATTTAATTCCAGCACTAGGGAGGCAGAGGCAGGTGAATCTCAGGGAGTCTGAGGACAGCCTGGTCTACAAAGGAAGTTCCAGAACAGCCATGGCTACACAGAGAAATCCTGTCTTGAAAAAGCCAAAAAATAAAAAAGAAGACCCAGGTTTGGTTCTCAGCACTCACATGGAAGCTTACAACTGTTGTAACTCCACTTCCAAGGAATATGATGTCCCCTTCTGGTCTCTATGGGCATCGGGCAAGCAGGGAGTGCACAGACATATATGGAGGCAAAACACCAACAAATATGAAATACAATTCAAATAAATAAAAATTAAAATTCACAGCTGGATGTGGTGGTCCATGCCTTTAATCCCAGCACTAGGGAGGCAGAGGCAGCTGGATCTCTGTGAGTTTGAGTCCAGACTGGACTGTATAGTGAGAGTTCCAGGACAGCCAAGTCTATTCAGAGAGGCCCTAAATTCATAAAATTTCTGGACTGTTAGTGTAAACCCAGACCCTCCCCCTTTTATTTGCACTGAGGTGCTATTTTTATTCTTAAGACTTACTATTTTATGTATGTTTTGCCTCCCTGCATGTCTTTGTGTTCAAGGAAGCCAGAAGAGGACACAGTCCCCCTGGAACTGGAGTTATACATGGTTATTATAAGATGCCATGGGGATGCTGGTATAATCAAACGCAGGTCCCTGGAAGAGTAACCAGTGCTCTTAGCCCACTGAGCCATCTCTCCTGTTCCTAATTTCCCTTTCTTTTACTGTAACTGATTTCTTTTTCTCGTTAGTTTGACAAATTGTTTAAGACCAGTAGGGATTTGTGGGAATAACTATAGCTTTTCTTCTTAAAAGAATTATACACTTTTTGGCCTGGAGAGATGGCTCAGCAGTTAAGAGCACTGACTGTTCTTCCAGAGGTGCTGAGTTCAATTCCCAGCAACCACATGGTGGCTCACAACCACCTTGAATGAGATCTGGTGCCCTCTGCTGGCATGCAGGCAGGAGACTGTATACATAATAAATAAATAAAATCTTAAAAAAAATTATACATTTTTTAATGTTACTTTTATACTTCTCTTCTTCCTCTTCTCTTTTTTTCCCTCTCTCCTCCCTCCTTCCTTCCTTCCTTTTTCCTAATTTTTAAGATTGAATTCAGAGTCCTATACATGCTAGTATAACCATTTTTAAAAAATTAAATCACAAGCCAGGCATGCTGGCATATGCATGCTATCCCAGAAATCAGGTAGTTGAACCAGGAGGATCAGGGATTTCGACACCCACCTCAGCTACATAAGATATGGTCTCTCAATAAATAAATCATAAACAAAGATAGTAAACATTCATGAAAACTTTTAAAAAGTATTTTATTATATTTATTTATTTATTGTGTATTCATGTCCATGTGTGTATGCAACCTGGGTTCAATACCTAGTAATTTCCTTTAACTGTTTACTATTTTCACTACTTTGAGTTATTGATACCTGTCATATCTGTCTAGTGGAAATACAGCCCAATGGTGTCAATCACACATCTCTTCCCATCTGCATCCATTGCACATGCTGGCGGCTTGAAATCAACTGTGACTGAAGGATTTCTGTGAAGGGAACTAGAAAGTAAATTTCTTATATTGACTTTTTTTTTTCTTGAGACAGAGTTATTCTGTGAAGCCCTGGCTGTCCTGGAACTCACTCTGTTCGAGGCCGGCCTTGAACTCACAGATCCACCAGCCTCTGCCTCCCAAGTGCTGGGATTAAAGGCATACACCACCACTGCCCAGCCTTTTATTGAATTTTTGTTGACAGCTTTCCTATTTACTAACACACCACTAAAATGAATTTTCTTTGTACTCTCTCTCTCTCCCTTTCTTTTGAGAAAGGTCTTACTGTGTAGCTCAGGCTGGCCTCTTAACTCCTGCCTCAGTCTCCTGAGAATTATAGATACATGCACCTCCTATGTTCTGTCTACTCGGGGAAACCTTTCTTTAATGTTTATTCTTTACATTATGCTTGTACATTATGCTGGGTATCTGGAAACAAAACATTACTTATCATCATAGATAGCTTTATTTTTATACATAGAGAAACATCATAGACCGAAACAGTGTATTTTTAAATGATGTTTTATTATTTTCCTTTTTATTTTAATGTGCCTAAAGATTTTATTTTTATGCATGAGTGTTCTGCCTACATATGTGTGTGTGTGTGTGTGTGTGTGTGTGTGTGTGTGTGTGTGGTGCCTACAGAGGCCAGAGGAGGGCATTGGATTCCCCGGGACTGAAGTTACAGATAGTTGTGAGCCACAACTCAGGTCCTCTATAAGAGCAGCCAGTGCTCTTACCTGCTGAGCCATTTCTCCAGTCCTAAGAACTCACTTTCTAAACCTTTTAATTCATGATTATAAAAGAATGTGTTTTATCCCAACCAGATTATATATATGAAGCTTTATTGAACACTGCTGTTGACATAGATTCACTAGAAGCAAACTCACATTTAGATGAAGTCTGGATCAAAGAAGTAATAAAGAAGGCAGGTATGAAGCTGAGATGGACCAAATTAAAACAGGAGAAAGTAAGAGAAAACAAAGATGCTGTAAGAAGGTAACACTTACCTGTATGTTAACTAACACTGAACCATGTGGTTTTACTCAACATCTTATGGGAAATTTGAAATTTCTTTTGTAGTTAAAATTGTATTTGACTATAGAGTAAACCTTTATCTAAAGCATCAGAAAGTATATTCAGCTTTTTGTGAAACTGTGTGATTTTTTTTTTTTCATAGCTTACTAAGTAGTCGGGTTTTTTTCCTGTTTTTTTGAGACATGGTTTTTCTGTGTTTCCTAGCTGTCCTGGAACTAGCTCTGCAGACCAGGCCAACCTCAAACTCAATGAGATGCTCCTGCCTCTGCCTCCTGAGTGCTGGGATTAAAGGTGTATGCCACCACTGCCTGGCTCTAATAGTCCAAATTTTAAATTTTGATTCAGCTCCACCCATTAATATGAAGATGCCAATTTTATAACAAACAGGGAATCATTGGCTATTCTGCCTTAAGTTGTTCTGTGTAAAAAGAGGATGGGGGATAGTTACTTTGTTTGTTTGTTTGTTTGTTTGTTTGTTTTTCGAGGCAGGGTTTCTCCGTGTAACTTTGGAGCCTGTCCTGGAACTAGCTCTTGTAGACCAGGCTGGTCAAACCCGATTCTTGTATTTTGTTGTTAATGGGAGCTTGTAGTGATAACTGTGAACCAATTCACAATTACTTCTGACATTTAAGAAATGAAATTCCTTTGCTGTTAATTGTAGGCCCCAGGCAGACCCAGCTTTATTAACACCAAGGTTCCCGGTTGTTACTATAATGGGTCATGTTGATCATGGGAAAACGACGTTACTTGACAAACTTCGAAAAACTCAAGTGGCAGCAATGGAAGTTGGAGGCATCACTCAGCATATTGGTGCCTTTCTTGGTATGAACATAAATAACATTAGAGTGTGCTTAGAAACCCCACTTGTTTTTTTTAATCAAATGTCATGCTGTGAAGTGTACAGATTCAAAGTAAGGAGCCTACTTAAAGCCACTGATGATTGAGTATGGAGCAGGCAGTTGACAGGCATCTCAGACTTTTTGTAAAAACAAAGCTATTTTGCTGTTTTGGGTTTAATGAGCATAACCTTTTTAATTATGTATATATAATATCAGATGTAGGCTGGATAGTTTTTTTAATGACAAATAGTAGCTACCATTTACTGAGCACTTACTGTGCTTAGCATTTTATATTCTGTTTTTTTCTTTTATCTTTACAACATCATGCAGTGGGTATTTATTCCTCTTACGATCTGTATACTCCTAAGGGACTCAGTAACGTGTCCAAGGTACATAGCTGATAACTAGCAAAGCTAGGATTAAACCTGTTATTATTGGACTCAAACTTGAAGCTATCAACTGTCTCCTAAATTGCCTTTTTGTGGCTCAAGATAATTGTATAGCTGCAGTTTGCTAATGTGGAAGTGATCACCCTACAACTATTGGTGAGTTCTCTCTCCAGAATGGTACTCAATCAATACATTTATCAGAGCAGCTATATTCTAGAAATACAAAAAGTTTTAGCTTGAAATTATAACATGAAAAGAAAGACCTCATGGTCTCATTGTATTTTATGTTTTCTTTATCAAATTTCACTCTGTTTTCTTCTGGTTAAAAATTAGTGGAAGCAATCAAAGAATTAATGCCTACCAGCATATATATTTATATTTCAGTACCAATACAAACACATACACACACACACACACACACACACACACACATACACACACACACACTGTATCTGTATCTGATTATATCATATATTCCTTTATGTTAAAAAGTAAATTGAGTAATTGGTGTCCTTGCATTTCTGTTTCCGCAGTCTCTCTGCCTTCTGGAGAAAAGATAACCTTTCTTGATACTCCTGGACATGCTGCCTTTTCAGCAATGAGAGCCAGAGGAGCTCAGGTCACTGACATTGTTGTGTTGGTTGTAGCTGCAGATGATGGGGTGATGAAGCAAACTGTAGAGTCTATTCAGCATGCCCAAGAGGCACAAGGTATGGGAGGTGTTGTCTGAACTCAAGAAGTAGGGAGTTGCCCTTTTTTTTTTCTTCGTTTTACAGGCCTACAAAGGTTATAGCTGGGCATGGCGACATACACCTTGAATCCTAGTACTTGGGAGGCAGAGGCAGGGGGATCTCTTGAGTTTAATGACAGCCTGATACACACAGAGAGACTTCCAAAACAGCCAGGGCTACACAGAGAAACCCTGTTTTAAAACAAAACAAACAAAACAAAGGTGCAATTCTGGGGACTAGGGAGGTGTTTCATCAGTTAAGAGCATTTGCTGCTCTTCCAGAGGACCTGGTTTTGGTTCCCAGCATCCACATGGCAGCTTACAACTATCTATAACTCTGGTGCAAGGAGGTTCAGTGTCCTCTTCTGGCCTGTTAGGATACAAGGCATACATGTGGTACATGTGTATAACATGTAGGCAAACATAAACATAAAATAAATTACCCTTTTATTAAATCTTTTTTATTTTTTCTTTGAGAGTTTTGTATGTATTTTAGTCATATTCATCTTTCCTCCCCTAACATTCCAGATCCATCCCTCTTCACCATTCACTCAACTTTTGTGTCTTTTTAAAAAAAACAAAATAGCCAGGCATTGGTGGCACATGCCTTTAATCCCAGCACTTGGGAGGCAGAAACAGGCGGATCTCTGTGACTTCGAGGCCACCCTGGTCTCCAGAGCAAGTGCCAGGATAGGCTCCAAAGCTACACAGAGAAACCCTGTCTCGAAAAACAAACAAACAAACAAACAAACAAATAAATAATAAAAAAATAAACAAAAAACTATTCAAGACCAATTTGTACTGCTTCAAATATTCTTGAATGTGTGGTCTGAAGTACGATCTGTTTACTAGAGGCTACACTCTTAGGAGAAGACTGTCTCCTTCTTTCCCAGCAGTTCAGAGTTGCCAATAGTCCATAGCTAGGAGCAGGATTGTATGCTGAGATGTGGTCTAGCCTGGGCTTGCACAGGTTTTGTGCATGCTGTCACCACCACTGTGAGTTTATAGTGCAGCTGCCCTACTATGTCCAGAAGACAATGTCTCCTTGTGGTCATCCACTCCCTTTGGCTCTTAACACTCTTTCCACCCCCACTTCCACAATAATCTCTTACTCTCTGCACTTGGTAAACTGTGGTCTCTGTGTTAATCTTCATCTCTACAAACAGAAGCTTCTCGGGTGAGGGCTAAGAAATGTGTTGTTGATCCATGGGCATAAGTCATTAGGAATCAGTTTAATACTATGTCCACTTATCAGCATAATAGTAGGTTCTCCCCTAGCTATAGGGTTTTGGTCCAGGAATGTTGCCAGATAAGGATTTTAATCTTGTAGAATGGGACTTAAATCTAATTTTTAAAAAAAAGTGTTGGTTATTCCCATGTTGTTAATGACACATTGGTGCCAGTTATTATTGTAGGTCAAAAGGCTAACAGCAGTATATGATTAATGAATATGTCAATAGGAATGAAGTTTCAGATCTGTACCATCTTGGTTTTACCATGTGGAATCTTCAGTAATAGCGGTATTGGAGGCAGGAGGCTCAGAAACTGAAAGTCATCTGGTGTGTTTCTAGCCAGCCTGGACTAACATGTCTCAAAAAAAGCGTAGATCAGTGGTTCTCAACCTTGCTAACACTATGACTCTTTAATACAGTTCCTCATCTTGTGGTGATCCCCAACCATAAAATTAGTTTCATTGTTACTTCATAACTGTAATTTTGCTACTGTTATGAATCGGAATGAAAATATCTGTGCTTTTCAGTAGTCTTCAGTGACCTCTGTGAAAGGGTCGTTTGACCCCCCAAAGGGGCCACAACCCACTGGTTGAGAACTGCGGACATAGAGGCTGGGAGTGATGGTACATGCCTTTAACCCTAGCACTCAGAAGGCAGAGGCAGGCAGATCTCTGTGAGTTCAAGACTTGCCTAGTTTACATAGCAAGTTCAGGCTAGCCAGGGATACATAGTGTGACCCTGTCCTTTTTTTGTTTGTTTGTTTGTTTCCCCCAAGACAGGGTTTCTCTGTGTAGCCCTGGCTGTTCTGCAGTTCACTCTATAGACCACTCTGCCTCTGCCTCCTGAGTGTTGAGATTAAAGGAGTGTACTACTACTCTTTACCTGAGCCAGTGTTCTAAACCACTGAATCTTCTCTCTAGCCTTCCTTTTTCTTATGTATAGACAACAGAGTCAGGCAATGTGAGTCTAAAGTGGCTCTTTTAGGCCTGAGTGAAGAGAAAGCCAGAGTAGGTTGGCATTTCTCCTAATGAAGGTCTAAAACTAAAGGGGTTTTCATTTGCACTTTCCCTGACTTTCTCTCTTCCAGTTCCTATTGTTCTTGCAATAAATAAATGTGACAAAGCAGATGCTGATCCTGAAAGAGTGAAGAAAGAGCTTCTGGCTTATGATGTGGTGTGTGAAGATTATGGTGGCGATGTTCAAGCAGTGCATGTCTCTGCACTTACGGTGAGTGCAGGTATCTCAGGGCAGAGGTGCTTGGTTGTGAACACTGGTAGCCTACACAGCAGTGCTGCTTAGCCAAAGAACTCTTTTTTTTTTTTTTTTTGAGATCCGGTCTCTCTCTGATTGACCTGAAAATCACTAAGTAGACCTGACTGGCCTGGAACACATAGCAGTCCCCCTATCTCTGCTGGGATTAAAGGTGTGTGCCACCTCAACTGGCCACTTTTTAATTTTTTGAGACACTCTCAAACTACCTATGTAGCCCAAGTGATAGAATTACAGCAGTATCCCACCACACTTGGTTTTTGCAGTGTTGGGCACCAAACCTTCATGTATGAGAATTAAGTGTTCTACTAACTCAGCTATATCCCTAGCCCCTTAAAAAACATTTTGAGATACATAATTGGTATTTTATTACTTTGTGTGTGGGTGTTTTGTGTGCATGCATGGCAGTGCACACATGAATGCAGTGCTCTGGAGGCCAGAAGATGTTGGATTCCCTGGATCTAGAGTTAAGGATGGTTGTGAGCCACCATGTGGGTGCTGGGAATCAAACCTGGATCTTCTGCATGGACAAGTACTACTATGTACTACAACTTAACCACTGCACCATCTCTCTAGCCCCATAATTTGTATTTTTTAAAAATTGCTTTGGGGCTAGAGAGATTGTTCACAACCATCTATAATAAGATCTGCTGCCCTCTTCTGGTGTGCAAGCAGAACACTGTATACATAATAAATCTTTTAAAAATTGTTTTGAATGCTGGGGAGATGGCTCCATTGGTTAAGTGCCTACTGAAAGAGCATGAGGACCTGAGCTCTGACCCAGCCCTCATGACAGCTGTATAAGGTGGCGCATGTCTGTAACTGCAGCATCAGGAAACAACTGTATCCCTGGAGCATTGTGGTCAACCAGCCTAGCCAGTCAGTGAGACCTACCTTAAAAAGTAAGGTAGAAGAGATGGAAAGACAGTGCAGCTCTGAAGAGCACTCCGTTACTCTTGCAGAGAACTGTGTTGATTTATCAGCATGCACATGGTGTCTCACAACCTATTCTAATTCCAATACCAGAGGTGCCACCGCCACCTTTGGCCTCTAGGCACCAGGTGCACATGTGGTACACATACATACATACATACATACATACATACATACATACATACATACATACAAACAAACATACAGGCAAAATAGTCATATATGGAAAAGAAAATAAGCTAGAGAGTGATAGAGGAAGGTACCTGACATGAGTGTCTAGCCATCTCTCTCTCTCACTCTCTCTCCTCTCTCTCTCTCTCTCTCTCTCTCTCTCTCTCTCTCTCTCTCTCTCTCTCTCTCTCTCTCTCTCTCTCTCTCTCTCTCTCTCTCTCTCTGAGTACTAGGCAAGGTGACATCATTGTCTTGATTTGCCAGATTAGGAACTGGACTCAGAGATTTGGGTCAGTTATACCAATTCATGGTAATAGAGCCAGTTGGTGGGGGAGTGATTCTAAACCTAACCCTTGTTAAATTATAAGATATTTAAAACAAGAGGACTAAATAACAAGTGATGGTGGGGATAGGGTAATAGTAGGCTAAGACTGCTCTTTGTGCAGTTTTCTTTTTGAGAGAAGATTGTACTGTTTGGCCCATATGGCCTTAAGTCCATTATGCAGCCTGGGATTTGTTATGAAACTGTTCTGCTCCAATCTTCCTCCCAAGGGCTGAGATTGTTGGTCTGCACCACCACACTTGTCCTAGGCTTGTTTTAAGCAAAACCGATGACCAGTTGATAACAAAACTACTTATGATGTTTCATACCTTGTCTAAGTAGAAAACAATAGAATAGGTCTTTGAATAATCAAGAGGGATTTGAATAGATAAAAATGACTAATACTATTAACTTTTTTTTATTTTGTTTGTAAACTTGACAGTATTTGCAATTGCTGAAGAGATAAGACTCTGGGATTATCTGTGAGGGATTGTCTTTTTTCTTTTTGATAAATTTATTGTTGAGCTGGGCATAGTGGCACACACCTTTAACCCCAGGCAAAGGCAGGTGGATCTGAAGCCAGCCTGGTCTACAAAGTGAGTTCCAGGCCAACCAGATCTACATAGTGACACCCTATCTCCAAAAAACTAAAAATATTTAAATTATTGTTTATGCCAGGATGTGGGAGCACATGCTTTTAATCCCAGTACCTGGGAGGCAAAGGCAGGTGGAACTCTTGAGTTTGAGGTCAGCTTCGTCTACATAGCAGAGCTGGCTACACAGTTAGATCCCTTCTCAAGAAAATTTATTGTTTGAGAATTTCCTACATGTATATGTTTTGGGTTTTTTGTTGTTGTTTTCCGAGACAGGTGTTTTGTTTGTTTTTGTTTGAGTGTGTGTGTGTGGGGGGGGGTGTGGGTGTGGCCCTGGCTATCCTAGAACTCACTCAGTAGACCAGGCTGGCCTCTGATTCAAAGAGATCCACCTGCCTCTGCCTCCTAAGTGCTGGGATCACATAATGTATTTTGAGCAAATATACTCCTATTCCCTCTTCCCCACCTCCTCCTATAATCCCCCACACACACTTTTCCCTACCAACTTCAAGACATTTTTTAAACTTCATGAGTCCACTTAGTACTGCCAGCAGTATGTGATGGGTATAGGGCCATCCACTGGAGCATCTGCAGCTCACCCAGGGCCACATCCCTTAGGAAAACTGATATTCTCTCCCCTCCAGAAGCCATCAATGGCCAGTAGCTTGTGATGGATTATCTAGATTCAGTTAACTATTGTGAGGATGAAAGCCAAGTACCACACCCCTCATCAGTTACAACATGCTCCTGCCGTCATGACTTTCCCACGTTCACATGGGCCAGAATAAGCTTAACGTAAGTTGCTTGTTAGGTATTTTCCCATAGCAAGAAGATTGTCTTGGTGCACACAAAACGAAAATAAGTGAATAGTTTTTAAATACAAAAGAAGAAAACTACAATTATAGAATCAGGTAGAGGAGACAGAGAATGAACTGAATGAAGCTTGTTTATCAAAGGTATTAGTGAGTACCACTAGTGGCTGTTTATTAAAATATACTTGTTCCAGATAGGCAGTGGTAGTGAGTGCCCTTTAATCCCAGCACTTGAGAGGCAGAGGCAGGTGGATCTCTGTGAGTTCGAGACCAGCCTGGTGGTCTACAAGAGCGAGTTCCAAGACAGCCTCCAAAGCCACAGAGAAACCCTGTCTCGGAACACCACTCCCCCCCCCCAAAAAAAAAAAGAAAAGAAAACTGTAGCTGTCAAAAGATTATTCATCCTGCTTACCCTGACTAATGTTATTTGCTGATGTGTAAATAACATCTGATTCCCTTTTTGTTAAAGGGAGATAATCTGACTGCTTTGGCAGAAGCAACAATTGCTCTCTCGGAAATGTTGGAACTGAAAGCAGATCCTACAGGTCCAGTGGAAGGAACAGTAATAGAGGCTTTCACCGACAAAGGAAGAGGGTAGGATTGCACTTAAATGACTCTAATAATTCTGTTTGATGGTTTTTGTGGCTTGGTTATATGACAATATACATATTGCATAGTTTTAGTTTTTGAGCCATATTTTCAAAGAATGTTTTCAATGTATTTTATTACACTAGTACACAGACCACAAAAATGAAGTTGTCAGTAAACCATACCAACTGTATATATACATATACCTAGTCACACTTAGATGACTAAAATAGTTAAATTGGTTTGGCTTTTTCCCCTCATTGGTCCAGATATTTGCATTTATAGCTAGACTGACAATGAATTGGAGTGAAATATCATTTGTTGCATTTTAATTTCTAATTCTTTGACTTGACCCAAGAATCTAATATGTAGGAAGATCTTTGTAATGGCATGCTCTTCTTGAATGTTCCGTCTATAAGCACAAGAAATTTTCTTGTTGTTTGTATACTGTTAGCAGCTATGAACAGTCTCATAACCCGTGTGTAGAATGGGGTAAAAATGGGGTAGGATTGAATCAGAACAATCTGCCATGTTCCTTCCCCTGTTGCCTTGTTAGTGCAGACACGTAGGACTTGACATTCATGATTGCCTTCTCTCAGTTAGAGGAGACAGGTCCCCTCGAATGTTCACTGCCCATTTATCTGTTGAAAGATTTAGGGCTGGCTGTGTGGTGGTGGCGCACGCCTTTAATTCTAGCACTCGGGAGGTAGAGGCAGGTGGATCTCTGTGAGTTCAAGCTAGTTCCAGGACAGCTAAGGCTGTTACACAGAGAAGCCCTGTCTTGAAAAACCAGAGAGAGAGACAGAGAGAAGAGAGAAAGATTTGGGGCTGCTTCTACTTCTTTTTTTCTATTCCTTGGCTATTGTGAAAAATATTTTATTTTTGGTTTTTGTCATGATGAGGACAAGCCTGAGGCCTGGCCCTGTACTGGTTACATATTTCTGTAATCCCAGCATTTTGAAAGTTGAGGCTGGAAGAGTCTACGCTTGTATATTGTCTTTACCACGTGCTCGGATATCACATTCAACAGGACAAAAAAAAATGTAAAATACTTGAATGAGCTTGTATCATAACATTAATATTATTGAGAGTGTCTGCTTTCCAAGCTGAAGTGATTCATTCATTATTCTGGTCCTGCTCTAGTCCTTTGTAATTTGGTGGTAATTATTATGCTTTCTTTTTAACACAAAAAATGTATAAAAATAAAAACTTGAAAAGGAAAAAAAAAGAAAAATTACAGGCTGGAGAGATGGCTCAGTGGTAGAGAGCACTGGTTGCTCTCTAGAGGACCTGGGTTCAATTCCCAACACCCACATAGCAGCTCAGAACTGTCTGTAACTCCAGTTCCAGGAGACTGGAACTGGCAAAATACCAATGCACATCAAATAAAATTTTAAAAAATTAATAAAAAAAAGAAAGTACAATTACATCCTGATTATAGCATTAAGAATATTTACTTTTTCTATTCATTTTAGTCCTGTTACAACAGCTATAATTCAAAGAGGAACTCTAAGAAAAGGCTCAATTCTAGTTGCTGGGAAGAGTTGGGCAAAAGTTCGACTAATGTTTGATGAAAATGGAAAAACACTTAATGAGGCCTATCCCAGCATGCCAGTGGGAATCATTGGCTGGAGAGACCTCCCTTCTGCAGGAGATGAAATTCTTGAAGTAGAATCTGAGGTATGCAAGCCTAATTCTTGAATGTTAGATATTAGTGATGACTTTACGTACAGGTCTATAGTGTTTAATATTAAATAAGAGTGCTAATGTTGGCCGGGCAGTGGTGGCACACGCCTTAAATCCCAGCACTCGGGAGGCAGAGGGCGGTGGATCTCTGAGCCTGGTCTACAGAGCAAGTTCCAGGACAACCTCCAGAGTCACAGAGAAACCCTGCCTCAAAAAACAAAACAAACAAGAGTGCTAATGTTGACATAATTATAGTTTGTAAGGGGCTGTGAAGAGACCAGGGAACCATTTTAGAATTTAACTATAGTATTATGTTTTTTCAGATCATTTTTAAAATTGTTTAATTATATACAAAATTCCTAAAATTTTATTTTTTGAAACTTGTAAAATTAGTGTTTTCAAACATGAATTAAATTGAGTTCATATTGGGGAAAACACGAGCTTTTAACCTAGCAGACACTGGTGTCTGTTTCAGTAAGTCATGACCGTTTTCCCTGTAAAGCCAAGGGCCCGAGAAGTTGTTGAGTGGAGGAAGATTGAGCAGAAAGAGGAAAAAGGCAAAGATGACTTGAAAATAATTGAAGAGCAGAGAAAGGAGCACCAAGAAGCACATCGGAAAGCCCGTGAGAAGTATGGCAGTCTGCATTGGAGGAAGAGGTCATACATGAAGTATCTTGAAAGAAAAGAACAAAGACCCTTAAAGCCCAAGGAAAAGGCAGAAAAGGACTCAAATGTGCTTTCTATAATCATTAAAGGTAACTTTTTGAAGGTTTTACTTTACAATTCACCATTTTAATCTATTTTTATTATCATAATTTGACCCCCACTCCTTTATTTATTTATTGGGGAGCAGGGAAGGGAATGGCCAAACTAACTTGGGCTTTCCCTAGAAGCCAGGCTTCTAGGGAAGCCTCCTGCCTAGCTTCAGGAATGCCCAGGTTACAGATGTTCACTGCCCCAGCAAACCCTTAAATCAAAGTAGATACTATCTCAGAGGTTTGATGTTCAAAATTTTTTTCTGAACAAGCATGGCTTGTATTGATTTCATTGTAAATGTATGTTTCTTTGTATTTAATCAGTAAGGTTTTGTAATGCTAAACTTAAATAAAAGTGCTTTTAGTGATAAAGCCATTCCTCTCTTGGCTTTAAAATAGATTCTCCCATGCAAATACTAACCAGGCCCGACCATGCTTAGCTTCTGAGATCAGAGAAGATTGGGCACATTCAGGGTGGTATTGATGCACGCCTTAAATCCCAGCACTCGGAGGCAGAGGCAGGCAGATCTCTGTGAGTTTGAGGCCAGCCTGGTCTACAGAGCAAGTTCCAGGATAGGCTTCAAAGCCACAGAGAAACCCTGCCTCAAAATAAATAAATATAAAATAGATTCTCATTTTACATACCTGCCTCTTATAGATAACACATTTTAAACTCTTGTTGTACCTATAGGTGACGTTGATGGGTCTGTGGAAGCCATCTTGAACCTTCTGGATACCTATGATGCTTCCCACGAATGTGAACTAGAATTAGTACATTTTGGATTAGGTGACATTAGTGAAAATGATGTCAACTTTGCTGAGACATTTGATGGTAAAGATTCTGTTGGCTGTATCTGTGTGTACCTATCATATTGTGAACCTTTTACTTGTGTCTTGTGATTGGCTGATCATTGGCCAGCATTCTCCTTCTCCTAGTGCATGGATAATCACAATCTATCTGTCATGACCACTGCAACCTTGGGAACTATTGCAAGACCAAGTACTGTTCCTTCCTTGATTTTTTTGTAATGCTAATTTTTTTTTAATTACCCTGGTCCCCAGTTCCATGCTTACTCCAGATATCTTTCACTACCCTTTGAATTGCTCTTCATCTGTGAGTAGTCTGTTCAGTACTTTATCTTGTGACCTTGTAATGTCAGTGCCAGAAAAGCTGACTTCTCCTTCTAACCACCTCAGGCATGCTTACACATAATACATGCAAGCAAAACACAATAAATCTAAAAAAAATTGTTTTTTATAAAATCCAATAATAAAAAATAATTGAAATTTTACTAGTTTTTGTGAGAACAGTCACAGAGCTTCTCAATAGCAATGTAATTTACAAAGAAGGAAATAAAACAATTCAGTGTGACTTTCTGCCTCAAAGGCAAGTAAGTAACTGTACCGTAATGCTTGTGCTAATGTATTCCCCTTGTTTCTCCTTGCTAGGTGTTATTTATGGCTTTAATGTGGATGCAGGCAAGGCTATCCAGCAATCAGCTGCACAAAAGGGAGTTAAGATTAAACTTCACAAAATCATCTACCATCTTATTGAAGATTTGCAGGAGGAACTAAGCAGCAGATTGCCCCACAGGCTGGAGGAATTCCCAATAGGTGAGTGCTGACTGCAACTTTCCAACATCACCTCAGGCGCTGTAAATGGCACCTAAAAGCAAAGCTTAAGGAAACAGATTTGCTGTTTCAATACAAGACTTATGTTCTAGAAAAAAAAAAAAAAATGACTACCATGAGGTGAGAATTCATGGTGACTTGTATGTCCTGTACAACAGAGTTAATTTAAGCCTAGAGGATACAAAACTAAAGAAAGGAACCAAGAACTTGCCTCAAGTCTACACGTGAATAATGATGGTAATACAGAGTAAGCCTTTTGTTTTGTCCTGAGACTGGCAAATAAATACAGTGAAGGCATTTTAAATACTAAGTATTTTAAAGTATTCTAGCATATTTTTGTCTGGATTAAAGGCCAAATTTATTTAACATTCTAAAGTACTGAGTATTAACTCTAATAGTATAATCTATGATCAGATTTTGTCTAGTTTTGAAACAGGGTATCATGTAACCTAGGCCTTCCCCAGCTATGTACCCAAGTATAGCCCTGAATTTCTGATCCTCATCTTCAGCACCCAAGTCCCGGGATCAAGTCATGCCACAATATACTTTTTAAGTAATTTTTCACCTAGATCAGGCTCATAAATTACATGTAGTTGTCATCTCTCTTACAATCCTATTTAGTTTAGAATCTTTTGCCCATCCCTTTGACCTTAACATTTTAAAATGTGAAGATCAGCAACTTCATTTACCACGTTTGTCCCCTTATAAGATCTGGTTTTGTAGTTTGGATCTATATAGATTTACTTTAAACTAAATATTATCACAGTATACAAAAATATTGTGGTTTTGTACCAAGAGCAATTTGAGCCACCAAGTGGGTGCTGGGCATTAAATCAGGGTCAGTTTTTAACTACTAAGCCATCTCTCCAACCCTTGGGATTTTTTTACCTGTTGTTGGTTCTGAAAATAAAATTGGAGGATCAAAGAAATACTATTTCCCAAACTAATTTTGTTTTTTGTTTGTTTTAAAGACAGGGTATCAAAATGTAGTGCTGGCTGTCCTGGAATTTACATTGTGTACACCATCTGCTCCCAGCCATTACACTCTCTTCCATTGTTTTCTTCCTAAAGGTGAGGCTTGCATACTAGCTACCTTCTCTGTAACAGAAGGGAAGAGAAAAGTTCCTGTGGCTGGCTGCAGAGTTCAAAAGGGACAGCTAGAAAAACAGAAGAAGTTTAAATTAATCCGAAATGGACACGTGATTTGGAAGGGTAAGTAGTATTAAAATCTATTTCTAAACCCTACTCACAAAATTCTGATGGTGTAGCATCCAAAAACTATGCATTTTTCAGTTGCCTAGCTTTAGCTTATGCCATTTCTGATAGTCTCCTTCCCAATTAATTCCGATGACACCCCAGGATTGATCTTGGTTTTGTTAAAAAGCTTTTTCTTTTTCTGTCTATACACTAACATTCAGTTCAACCCCTGTATTTTTTTATTTTTTTTATTTTTTGGTTTTTCGAGACAGGGTTTCTGTGTAGATTTGGAGCCTGTCCTGGAACTCAAATCTGTAGAACAGGCTGGCCTTGAACTCAACAGAGATTCACCTGCTTCTGCCTCCCAAGTGCTTGTATTCTGTCCCTTTATCCCAAGGCCCCACACAATGCACACTAGGGAACTCCCTGAGAGGTCTTCAGATTTGCCTGTCACCTTTTGTGGATTTTTTTTCCGGGGGGGGGGGGGGGATATAATCTCGAGAGTATAATTTTAGACTACCTTTAAAATGTGAGATTTCAGCCCTATCAGGTCAGCATTCAAATGACTTCCCTGGTATTTACTCTCACCTAATGTATATGTTGTATGGGAGGGCACAACCAAATAGCTCAGTAGGTAAAGGCACTTGCCACATAAGCCTGACAACTTGAGTTTAATATACAAAACGCACATGAAGTTAAAGAACCATGTTACACCAAATTATCATTTAGTAGATATTTGTTGAATATACTAACAGTACCTTGTTTTTTCTTTTAAGGCTCATTAACCTCACTGAAACACCATAAAGATGATGTTTCAGTCATCAAAACTGGAATGGACTGTGGTCTTATTTTAGATGAAGAAAAAGTAGAATTTAAAGTGGGAGATGAAGTTGTTTGTTACGAAGAAAATGAAGTTCCAGCCAAGACTTCTTGGGATCCAGGATTTTAAAAGTACAATAAAAATGATAAATGTATTGTTTCCTTTATTTAAAGACAGGGTCTGGATACTTAGCACAGTCTGATAGCAACCTCCTGCCCAGCCTCACAAGTATGCAGCACCATGCCTCCATTCTTTTTCTTATATAGCAAGTACCCTTTGCCTTATTGGAGATAAAAATTACCAATGAGGCTGGGCGGTGGTGATGCACACCTTCAATCCCAGAACTTGGGAGGCAGAGACAGGTAGATCTCTGAGAGGTCAAGGCCAGCCTAGTCTACAGAGCTGAGTTCTAGGAAAGCCTCCTAAAGTTAGAGAAACCCTGTCTCAAAAAGCAAAATTACCAATGAGCCACGCATGCAAGGTGGCACACAGCACCTCAAGAGGATCTCCCAAGTTAGACTGCCTCAAAATAAAAATCAACAAAAACTCAAGATACTAACTCCCCAAATTCATGCACACATCATTATAGGAAGCACAGACCTTGTGTCTTAGGGTGCTTTAGAACATTGCATTCAGCTTTTGACTTATCTACTATGTATTTGAGTGCTTTACTTGCATGTATGCCTGTATGGCACAAGAGGGCATTGGATCTCACTATAGATGGTTTGTGAGCCACCATGTGGTTGCTGGGAATTGGAACTCAGGACTGCAAAGAGCAGCTAGTGCTCTTAAACTCAGCCATCTCTCCAGCCCAAGTGATGAATTCATCTTTTATGTGAGACACACTGTCTTGTCTTAAAGCAAGATGAAAGGGATAGGGTGGTGGCCTCGCTAAGGCACAGTACACCCCCTAACCCCTTAAAGAATTCTGACTCAAGTGCCTACAGTGCAAGTCAGAAAAACTGGCTTAGATTCCTATTGCAGGCAAAGTCTTTGCCAATGCCAACTGGCACCTCTCAGGCAGGAACCTCAAAAGACCTAGTCACATAGCCCAAGAGACATATATACAATAACACTTAACACTAAACATCAGTTCCTGTCTTTTTATTTATTCATACACAACTACTTGTCTTCTGGGTTTTGGAAGCAGTAAGGCAGACAACACTTCCCACAGTAATGTCTGTCAAAATGGCTAGCCATGAAAACTCCAGCACCACACTCATCAGATGGACACTCTCGACGAAGGCGACTAATTTTGCCATTTTCATCCACCTGAAAAAAGAAACTTACTTTAAGACAATTTCACAAAGACACCCTGAAGTTTCAAGTGACTCAAGCTGTTAACCTCTGAACCTCACAGCACTAGTGCGTTTTGGGAGTTGTGAAGTGATTTTAAGTGCTGTCTAAAAATTTTTGCCTGCATGTCAGATTAGACAGTTGTGAGCTGCCAAGACATACTGTTCTTGCTGAGGACCTGAGTTCAGTTCCCAGCACTCATATCTGACAACTTATAACTGTATCTCCAGGTCTAAGAGATCTGACATCCCATCTTCCTTACTCATGCAAAAATATAGTTGCACACATAAATATAAGACACTTTAAGAAATCTCTCCAGCTCTAGGGAATCTGACATTCCCCATCTTCTTTAATCATATGTAAACATGTTTATGCATGCATAGAATAAAAATATCTTAAATTCTAGTTCTTTATGTTAACTGCTCAGCACCACCCTTAAAAGCAGCTCACCTTATAGTACTTCAGCACAGCCAACTTAACCTTCTTTCTCTTATGCTTATTCTTCTTGGGAGTGGTGTAGGACTTCTTCTTCCTCTTCTTAGCACCACCACGAAGTCTCAACACAAGATGAAGGGTGGACTCCTGTTAGTGAAAGAGGCCTCAGCAATTCAGACTGCAACCTACCAGCAGCAACCACCCCACCCACCCTATATATGCTTGGGAAGTAGGGGAAGCTCAGGAATTCCATTTAAGTTCCCCTCCCCCACTATAGGACACCTCTCTCCACAAACCAAAAGGTTCAACCATCATCACATATTTTAAAATCATTAAACAGGTGCAGTGCTTCTCAAATGTTAGTGGATTCACATCTAATGCTTTCTCCCCTATTTCTGGGAAGTTTCCCCAGACAAACCTTTTGGATGTTGTAGTCAGACAAAGTACGGCCATCTTCCAGTTGCTTACCAGCAAAGATCAGCCTCTGCTGGTCAGGAGGAATTCCTAATTGCAAGAAAAACATAATTGGGTTTAATCAAACTAGGTGCACACCCCAAGTTACAGATAATCCTGTATTAAATTGCCAACAGTGGTCATTGACTTACTAGACACTTAGCGTTTCTCTTAATGTCGGAGACATATTTGAACATTTAATACACGTTAGTAAGTTTTCACGAACCAACAAACAGGGAAAGAAAACCAACTTATTAAAATTCACACGTGGAGAAACTGTCTTGCAAAGTTTCCAAGCACTTTTCTGCTTTCTATCCTAAGAGCAAATATGCCTAAGTCTTAGAAGCCCGATATTTTTCTAGCGACAAAACATTACTTGCCTTCCTTATCCTGGATCTTGGCCTTTACATTTTCTATAGTGTCCGAGGGTTCAACCTACGAATTTTAACATAGTTAACATATAGTTAGTTACACCAATCTCATCAAATGTACTTTACACAAACCGAGCCGGGAGATGGTGGGCTGGCACCCACCAGCCAACCCAGTGGACGTCCTCCCAGTGCTTCAAGCCAACTCCGTTCCCAGACCAGGGCGAGCGCCGGCCGCTGTGCCACGCGCTCGAGCCTGTCCCCCGAGCATTTCCTATTGCTCACCCTTCATTTGGCCGCTCCGCATGGGGCAGGCGCAAGCTTTCGGTACCGAAAAACCCAACTTAGGCGCTTGTAAGCAACCCATTCTCGGCTCACAGCCAAACTTCAAACGCAAACGCGCTCTCAAGCTTTAAGCGAGCATAGAGGGCCTCTGGCAGGCCTCGCTTCTCACGCCACCTGGTTCGTACCTCGAGCGTGATCGTTTTCCCCGTAAGGGTCTTCACGAAAATCTGCATCTTGGCGGCGGTTCCACCTACATTCGAAAAGAGACGGATTAGAGCCGCCGACCAGGGTGAGAGCGACGCGGGAAGCCCCAAGCCGGAGCGGCAGCCCGCAGCACACACTCACCACGGATGGCGGATCGGAAAGGAAGAGCCGCGCGGACCAACGGGGCTTCCCGGCCGAAAGACCCGCCCCTTAGGCGTCCACGCAAGTGCCTGCCCGCTGCAACGACCGCGGCTGTCTAACGCAGTGCCAGACTAGCTCGGGCGCTCCGTTTCCCTATGCTCTTTCTCATTTCGGTCCTCGAAACGGTGTGCCCAACATTAAAATGTTTCAAACGCCTTTCTTACACAGTCGATGCGACTAAGAGGGGCTTTCCTTTAAAGGGGGCTTGTTTAGCATGAGAAGAGAGGTAACACAAGTCTGTCTGGGAATTGTAGTTTTTCGTCGCTTTCTTTTTGCTAAAACTACTCGTCCCAAGATGCAGTTCCACACATCCGGGCTATCTGGTTATAGTCTCTAAACTCTGGAGTCAGAGTTAGAGATTCAGGTGAGGACCGGGGGATGGGGCCGAATGTTTGGCGCGAGGGTGGGTCCTCGCCGGAAATGCCTAGAAGGGAAGGGTTATGGGCCGGAAGGCATTCGGGGCTGAAGGTGTAGCCGAGGAGCCTGCTGGGGCGTCTCAGCCAGCTGAAGCCCAAATCGAGTCTTCCCAAGTGCGGGTGTGGCCTCTTCCGTGTAGCCCCCTCCTGGCCCTCAGTCAGAGGAAGCATCTGAGCCGCACGTGCCCTCCCAGCGTGAAACGGTTAATGGTCACCTTTGCACGTTTTAAAAGCCATACAGTAAGGAAACCTGCAAAATGACTGTAGTCCTCGACCGCAAGTTTGGACGTGGAGATTGCCCATCCTGGGAAAAATAGGAACATGTGCTGTCCCCAAAAAATAGGCAAAACAGGACAGTTAAAGCGGGTTGCGCCCTCTCCCAGTCCTCCACCTCACAAACTCAGTGCCCTTTCTATTGCACCCTCTAAATGTCTTTTCTTCCATCCCTAAAGGTAGACCTCCTCCAGTTTGGTTTGGTTTTGTTTTATATAAAGAAGATGCTTATCTTCCTAATAACCTGTGTGGGCTCTTCCCTCATTTTAATCTATTAGCTCTGCTGCCTCCAAAATACACATTTTTGGCTGGGAAATAGCTTAGATAAAATGCCTGATATGCAAAAACCTGTGTTGTAACCCCACTTTAAAAAAGACTGCTGCGCCTGTTGAGATTCTGTTTGACAGGAGACTCCCTAGAGCTCATTGGCCAGCCAGAGTAACCAAATCATCGTGCTTCAGCTTCAGTGAAGTTTTTTTTTTTTTTTTTTGGGGGGGGGGTGGTTGCAGGGCGACATGACACCCTTGTGACACACAATCTCTTTTAAAATTAGGTAGAGCCAAGCGTTGGTGGCGCATGCCTTTAATCCCAGCACTCAGGAGGCAGAGGCAGGTGGATCTCTGAGTTCGAGACCAGCCTGGTCTACAAGAGCTAGTTCCAGGACAGCCTCCAAAGCCACAGAGAAACCCTGTCTCGAAAAACAAAAAATAAATAAATAAAAAACTAAAATTAGATAGGGCTATTTGGATGGTTCTGTCAGTAAAGAGTTGACACCTGGAGTTCTGTCCTATAGTGGAAAGAACTGACCCCAGCAAGTTACCCTCAGACTTTCACAGTGCACCCCACCCCTGGACTAACATTTTTTAAACAAAAGGTAGAATGATCCGAGCGCGCGCGCGCGCGCACACACACACACACACACACACACACACACACACACACACACACACACACTCCACAAATGTGGATAAACAAAGAAAAAGTGTTGGGGTTAAATTAGTTAAATTAAATTAGTTAACCTGAGTTGTAGGGTACTTACCTAACATGTCTGAGGTGCTAGAATTGATATTCAACACTGCAAAGAATAAAATACTTCAAATATGAGGGACAAGGACATAAGAAGATAGTTTTGTCAGAGGGAAAAAAAGTTGTTGACCCCTTTAAGGGCATTGATACACCACCAAAGAACTTGGAATTCTCCTAGGGAGCTACTGCTATTCAGATGTGACCACACATGCCCCAACGATTGTACCCTTCCCCTCTCGAAACATAATGATTGCACTATGAGCAAACACATTGATTTTCTACTTGAGAGAGCTTTCGCCAATGATAAGGCTCCGTGAGCTAATGCACTTTCTGCCAAGCCTGATGACCTGAGTTCAGTCCCCAGGTCCCCCATAAAGGAAGAATAGGAACTGACTCCCATAAACTGCCCTCTACCTCTGTATGTGGCATGACAAGCATACTCCACACATTTACACATGGACACTAATTTTTTGTTTTTCCAGACAGGGTTTCTCTGTGTAATAGCCATGGCTGTCCTGGAGATCACTTTTTAGACCAGGATGGCCTCTGTCTCCCTGGTGCTGGGATTAAAGGTATGTGCCACGTTGCCAGGCTCTAACAAACTTTTAAATTAGAGTTTAATCATATATTGCTTTTGTCTTTGATGGGACTACTTTATGTTCTCTGGTAAATTGATTTTTTTATCCAACTCATCAATATAAAAGGTAAATTTAGTCTTTTACATTTCAAAATTATTGTGGTGTCTCCTTTATTTTGTATATTTTATTAGTTATTTGAACAAGGTCTCACTAGGTAGCCCTGGCTGGCCTGGATCTCACTGTGTCTACCAACTTAGCCCTCTGCACCACCACTACCTGACTGTAATTTTAAATATTTTAGCTTTTATTCTTAGATAGTTTCAAATATTTAATTAATTTGAGTTCTTTTCACTATCATCCTGTCTCATCCATACTCCTCCCTCTGAAAACCTTCCCATCAAGGCCCTTTCTACTTTCCTGTGTGTGGAACCACTGAACCACTAAGATTCTTTTGTTGTTTTTTTATTTTGTTTTGTTGTTGTTGTTGTTTCAGTTTTTTGAGATAGGGTTTCTCTATGGCTTTGGAGGCTGTCCTGGAACTAGCTCTTGTAGACCAGGCTGGTCTCAAACCCACAGAGATCCGCCTACCTCTGCCTTCTGGAGTGCTGGGATTAAAGGTGTGGGCCACCACCCCAGCCTGGCTCCACTACGTTTAAATATGGCTGTCTAAGTGATGGGGGAAAAGCCATGGTGGGCGGGTGCGTGTGTATGTGCCCATGTGTGTGTTGCCCTCATGTATGTCTGCTGCATCACTATCACCATGTAGGTTAGTGCTGGGAGTCAAACCCAGGTTCTATGGGAAAGTATCCATTGCTCTTAACTGGCAAGCCCTCCCTCCAGACCCAGAAGTCATGCTTTTATTGTTGTTGTTTACTTATTAAGCCATGTGGTGGGTGTCTATAATTCTGGAATTTGAGGGGTGGGACAGGAAGGTTTTCAAGGTCATTCTCAGCTACATACGGAGTTTAAGACCAACCAGGTTTGCAAGAAATCCTGTCTCTAAAATAGCAACAATTTAAAATGAAACAAAACCCACTCACCTAATTATTTGTGGTCATTGTATAATAGAGAAGTGTTACAGGGCTAGGCAGACACTGGGGAATAAAGTATTTGACCTTGTTTGCATCAGCAAGAAGCACACACAGCAGTTCCCACATGAAAGAAACAAATCTATTGTCTCAGCTACTATTTCACGAATTCTTACAATTATTAAAATGTGATACAAAAGTAGAGTGCTTACTTAGCATGTGCACAACCCTAATTTAGTCCCCAGCATTGCAAAATATAAACTTTTTAAAGTGCTGAGTTGAAGCCTAAGAACTATCACTTAACTGGTATGCGTAAGAGGAATCCGCTTAGTGTCTAAAGGAAGGGTGTTTTTCTGTATTCACCTATCATTGTGTGGCATAACTGGACAGGGAGGCATTTATGGGGGTCAGGGGACAGCTTAGTGGGGCTGGTTCTCTCCTCCATCTTGATCTGGGTTCTGGGTATCAACTCAGGTCTTCAGGCTCTCATGGCAAGTACTCTGCCTGATGAGCCATCTCACTGGCCCTAAGGGAAGAGTTCTCAGTTGTCTGACATATTCTGGAGTATAGCAAATCTCAGTAGAATAGCATGGGCATTTTAATTCATTGACTGAAATATATATCTCAGTGACTGATCCCTAATAATTTTTCCAGAAACATACATATTTTTAAATTGACTTTTGACTTAAGAATTGTAGGCTTATATTAACTGATGGTCGTGTTTTATTTCAGACTCACTAAAATTTTTTGGCTTTGTTGGAAAAGAAGGTCAAAGCTTAATTTTTCTCCGGTGAACAAGCTCACAGATTAAGATTTATGTCATTCCAAGAAGTAAACAAACATGCAGTTCTCCCTCCCATCATTAGTAGAAGTGACAAGGAGTTTTTGGAAAGCATGCAAAGATACATAATTACAGAAACCAAAAGAGTGGGCTGCAACGAGAAAGGACCTGCTGATGAGTATTACACCATATACCGAAATGTTTTCGACAAGGTACCATGATGCTCTTTAAGACGGGACATTTTCAAGAGACTATATGTAACCTAGCTTAACCACTGCCTCAGAAATACCTGGTTGACTACATTCTGTATACTCTTTTGGAGAAGTTCATCCAGTTTGTTACACCAGGATGAATAGGGAAAACAGTGCTGCATTTACATTTCCTGACTGCTACATAGAGTCAATTAGTTTAGTTTAACAAGCTGTTTTTTGTCAACAACTTGGCTGTGCCTTCTGGTAATCATTTTTACCCTTTCCTGTTAAGGTACCATCTAATTTGCTAGAACACCCATTGTGAACAAGAACTAGTAATCTATGTCCTAGGTTTATTTCTGCTATCACTAAGATCTTGGTTTATATATGATATGGTATGTTCAATGAAACTTCTTGAGCCAGGTGCTATGGCGCATGCCAGTAGTCCTAGCTGGTAGGAATGCTGGGGCTGGAAGATTGCTTGCAGTCAGGAGTTTGAAGCCACCATCAAGAAAATGGCATGATTCAGCTCAGATCAATGAAGGAATCAACTAGAAGTTTCATTTGAGCCCTGTCAGTGGTCTAGATATGGTACATAAAGGTTTGACTGATATTAACATTGGAAATAATGGAGCTAGATTACAAAATGTTACAGCTTTATGTAGCATGTCAGATTTGGTTCTTTGCAATTTAGAAATAACTGTCTCCTTTTGAGCAACTGCAGTTTTTTCAATGA